TATATATATATATATATATATATATATATATATATATATATATATATATATATATATATATATATATATATATATATATATATATATATAAAGCTCAAACTTTTGTTGCTACACTATCATTTTCCTTTGTAATAAACCACATAATAATATACTTCAACTAAAGTATAACTAGTATCATAAATTAAAGCATGCCACATATAATGGACAAAAATGAGAAAAATCACTTGGGTTACAAATAGTACATCATAAATTAATATAAGGCGGAACAACATGGTCACAATTTAAAGTGTTTGATATGGATGGGTAACTGTTTGGTTCATGGGGTTTTAGTTTGAGTTTTGTACTAAGCCATACTACTTCTAAAAAGTATTTACATATGATAGTACATTGAAATTTGAAAATTAATTAACAAAAGATAGTATATTATCTCTAAATTGAATTTATTATTATATTTTAAAATTTTAATTTACCTTTTCCATCTTTGTCACCACTATTGTACGATCGATACCAATTCCACTTTCTTCTTCCTCACTTTTTCCGTTAAACCGGGAGTCATTTCCCCTTTGGTCATTTATTCTTTCACAACTTTACTTCATTTCTTTGAATTCCAATAACAAAGATAACAAAACAAATGGTGAACCAATATAGATGACATCACGCGCTTTAACATTAGTGACGTTTCTTCACACCTACTCCTAATAATGGGTCAACAAGGCAGTATAAAATTCAAATGTGTAAAGAATAGATAATAAGTTGTTATTGGTATAGTTCATTTACTGATGCCACCTTGATCACTTCTATGTGTTTTAAAACTTTAAACTTTAAACTTTAAAGCACGTAGAAGTGATCAATGTGATATCAGTAAATGAACTATAATAATAACAACTTAAAGTTTAAAGCACCTTGAAGTGATTACAACTTAAAGTTTAAAGCACCTTGAAGTGATTAAGGTGACATCAGTAAATGAACTATAACAATAACAACCTAAACTTTAAAGCACGTTGAAGTGATAATATTAACATGCTTTAAAGTTTAAAGTTTAAAGTTTAAGCTTTCTATTGAAGCCATCAAAAGTTCAAAATGCCTCCCTCATGTTTGGTTCTGTTGAAGTTTCCTCTACCATACACAAAAGTTTGGAGCAAACATGATGTCTTTGGTTGTAATTATCTTCTGCAAATTTAAGAAATTTAGATTATGCCAAAGTTATGAAACACGAAGTGATGATATTTACCCAAATGGAACAAATCGAGCACAAATTCACAATCAAAACGTCTCAACCATTTTTCCCTAGCTCAAAAGAGTTAACACCCAAATGGCAATGGAGAAGGATGGAGAAGTCGGGAGAAATGCTCGTATAACATGACAAGGAAGGAAAACTAGTGAAGGAGTGAGGAAGGAAGAATGTGATTAAACTAGGTGTCATTAGGTTATTTCATTTTATTTTTAATAAAAACTACAATTAAACGGTAAGTAAATTTAAAAAGACAATTGTTTGGTAAATATTTTCTGAGGATAGAATGTTTGATTATTTTTTTATTTTTATTTTTTCACACTAAAAATCAAACCGACAGATTTATGATAAAGAAAGTAAGATACCTATTATTAATGTTAAAAGTAAAATAAAAAGTTTCAATTTTCAAATACAAAATCCAAAGTTTCATATATAAAAATCCAAAGTTTCAGGAAATAGAGATTATAAAAAAGGTTAAAAATGATGAAACGTGTTTATATAAAATGATTAAGCTACCGATGCATATGAACTATGAAGCCATATGTACACAACATGCACTATATCTTATCAACAATAAATTGTGAAGTTATATAAACGTAAAGTACCAAAGCTTTTAAGACTAGCGGTATAAGAGTTGATACATATACATTCTCTCTAAAATTTGAAGGATCAAGTCTCCATTGAAATATTTGTGTAAATTTGTAATTTAGATTATAATAATAATAATAATAATAATAATAAAAAAAAAAAAGAAGGTAAAATGCATTGCATGCTTCTGCCTTCTAGAAACGAAAGTACACTAGCAGGATAAATTGTCTATGGAACAAAATTGATGAAACAAGATAGATACGAAAGTACACTAGCAAAAATTCATCCAAGGCAACGACTCCATTGAGCGTCTTGAGAATGGTGGGTTTGCGGCTTACACAAGCCACTTAAACATTTATAACTTAATTAAAGGTTAGTTTTATTTCATGTATAAACATTTTAACTAAAATTTGTTTATATGTGTTTAATTAGTTGTGAATTAGCTTTATATATTTTTAATATTTTTTGAATTAGGTTGTTTTTTCTTTTAAATAAGTTGCATTTATTTTAAAATAAGAGAACTGAATGGATTGATTAAGTGGCTTGAAAGGGAGAATAAATATGATTTTTTTTTTTTTGTTGATTTTCTGAAAAAAAAAAAAGTGTATACAATTGTTTGTGAAGGTAATTAACTTAATCAATCCACAAATTTCCTTATGGTTTGGGAGAATTTGTGTTTTTTTGTCCCTAATTTATATTTTTTATCTCGGATGATCTCACTGTTTTTTTTGTTATGCGTTTGGTCACTGTCTTACCTAAAAAGACTATTGTGTCATTATTAATTAATTTTCTTATTTATGTATTTATTTTTTTTATATATTAAAAAAAATTAATAGACCCTACATATCTGTATCTCCTCACCGTAAACCTGAAACCACATTTGAGAAATTTAATTTGGGTCTTACGGGTCACCATCTCATCTCTCATCCTCTCTAATTTTTATTTCTTTTCCATCTTTAGTAAGATTGATGTCTTCACCATCCATCTTTTTTTAGTACTTCAACTCTGACGAATCAAAACCATAAACTATTGTCTCTTCATATTTAGTAGGTTGTGGTGTTGATTCGACAGCGTCGAAGGACCGAAAAAAAAAGGGTGATGAGGACGTCGACATCACTAAAGATGAAAAATAAATAGAAGTTGAGGAGGATAAGAGATGAGATAATGAGGAGATACAAATATATGGGTTCTATTAATTTTTCTTAAATATATAAAGAATAAATACATAAATAAGAAAATTAATAAAAATAAATAAATTAATAAGGGCACAATACGTTTTTTTAGGTAAGACAGAGACCAAGCTTGTAACAAAATTAAACAGTAGGGATCATCCAAATTAAAAAAAATAAAAATAAAAAATAAACAATATGAATTATCTGAGGATATACAAAAATATAGGGTCTATTAATTTTTTTATATATTTAAAATAATACATAAATAAGGAAATTAATTAAAAAATAAATTAATAAGGACACAATAGTCTTTTTAGGTAAGACAGGAACCAAACACGCAACAAAAATAAACAATAGAGACCATCCAAGTTAAAAAATAAGTTAGGAACTAAAAACACAAATCACCCCAAACCATATGGACAATTTGTGTAATATACTTTTACTTTTCGTTTTGTTCCTATTTATCTAACTTTTTTTTTTTTTTGGTACATATTAATGAAACGAAGTTGTTAAAAGCATTTATCTTTAGAATTTAAGATGCTATAGTAAGTTATAATGATCATATGTGAACACTTCTAATAAGTTTGTTACCTAAATGTATGAAAAAGAAAAAAAATAGTTACCCAAAACATAAAGATATAGAAAAGTTATAACATTATTGTCCTAACGTTGTCGCTTGTTATGGATCCTCACATTTAGAATGGACCAATTATTTGACTTTTATTAGTTTTAAAGTTTGATTAAGCTTTAAGAGTACAGCTAGTTTATGACATAAGAGTGCAACTATATGGCTTTAAGCAACAGTTATTGCTTTAAAATGCTAGCACGTGTTTAGTACAATCTTGATCATAGAATTCATTTTTAGTGCAACCAATGGATTTCTCAACAATATGTTCCACAAATAAATCTAATAGAGTACATATTGTGCAACTTCTTTTTTTATTTTTATCGAAAAAAAATCGATAATAGACAATACTTTCCTCTGTCTTTTAATTTTTTTTCCCTGTGTCTAAGCTCTTTGATTGTCTACATCTTTGTATACATTATTGAATTCTTGTTTCCTCCCCAATTAAACATGTAACTTTCGGATAATAAATGATCTTTTATGGGTTTGTTATTATGTCAAATCTAGTAAGGCTTAAGGGAAGTGTTGTTTGCTAAATCGTTTAAAATAAATAAAATGTATCAAATGAATTGTAATATTTCACATTTCGGATCCATTTATAAGTAGAATGAAACTTCAAAAGATTTTTTAAATACTTTTTAAAACGTGTTTCAATGTCTTAAAACAGAATAAAATTCAATTACATTCTTAAGAAACTCGTTCAAAACATGTTTGATCGATCGACATAAAATATAGAATAAAATCCAATTACATTCTTAATAGAAATCATTCAAAACGTGTTTGATCGATCGACATAAAATATAGAATAAAATCCAATTACATTCTTAATAGAAATCATTCAAAACGTGTTTGATCGATCGATATAAAATATAGAATAAAATCCAATTACATTCTTGAAAGAATTCATTCAAAACGTGTTTGATCGGCTTAAAATAGAATAAAATTAAAATAGATTCTCAAAATAGTTTGTTCAAAACCATGTTTTATGCATTGCAAAATCATTAGCAGCAATTGTATCATATTAGATACGTAATCATTGCATTATGAGATAAACATGTTTAAATAGCAGACATGTAGAACTTCATTTTATGACAATTTCATAATCCAAACTTATTACTTGATCAAATTTGAAATATAATATCATTTTATCAAGATTTCATGGTGGAAACTTATGCTTGATCAAATTTGAAATAAACACAACATTATAGCATTTATCGACAATTTCGTCATACGTACATATACTTGATCAAATAAAAATATAACATCTTATGACAATATATATAATCATACAAACTTTGTCATATTTGAAATATAATATAATATCATTAGAATAACCTTCTTTATCTACACTTGTTCATTTTAAAGCAAATTAATGTCCAAATATTTAGGTAGCAAGTATTTCCCATATCAAATCCAGATCATAAGAAGGCATCATGGCCAATGAACAATCATCCACCATCTCATCCATGTCGGAAAACGTCTGTAACTCACCTGAAAGTTCATCTTCCGACAACACCATATGACCACCATCAAAATTCTCATCATCGCCACCAGAACCCACCGCAGGGCCACTCTCTCTCACCTCCAGCTGCTTACTTTTCTCTGTTTTCACCTTCTGACAAATCTTGTTTTCAACAGCAATCTTCAAAGCATTCAGCCTCTGCAAATCTCCGATAAACCTCACCATACTCGGATCTTTAAAATTCAAACGAGCATGTTCGCCACGAAGTTTATAAGCAGCTTGATCATAAGCATACGCCGCTATCTCCGGCGTCTCATAAGTCCCTAACCACACCCTCATTCTGTTATGCGGCAATCGGATTTCTGCCACCCATTTTCCCGAATGCCTCTGTCTCACGCCTCTGTAGGACTTGTTATTTTTCTGTGATTTGCTAAAATGCTGATGAAATCCATCTGGGTTTGTTGTAGTTTGGGTTGCTTGATCCAAATCTTCAGAGAATTTGAAGAATCGATCCCTCTGTTTGAGGTAAACTGAAGAACCTAAATGTTCATGAAAAACAGGGGATGATGATGATGGTGATGATGAAGATGATGAAAGATTTGGGAAGGTTGAATCAAAGGTGTTCGAGTTTACTCCTGTCAAGCTGAAATTTGGTAATGAAAATGGAAAGTTATTGTTGTTTGAATCTGAATCAAAAGAATTTGTATTGTATTCTTGCATGGTTTTGAGTTTTTTTGTGGTGATATGAGAAACAGGGACTCGCTATAATTTGATTTGATGAGGTAGCGAAGACATAATATTTATAGGGAATATGCGAAAATATTAATTTATTAATAATATAGTTCTGTAAAATGATTCAAACACATCATTAAACTATAAAAACTAAAAGCATGCAATCCAACTTCTGATCTGTGATAATTATAGGAGATTTTGTAAAAATGACAAAAGAAAAAAAATACACTTTCATTAGAAAATGTTTGGTGATGAAGTTATTAAATACAGTTTAAATGATTAGTACTTATAAAATTAGATTTAAAAGAAAAGTGGCGTTCCTTAACCACATACTTATATGGAAAAGGGAGAGTAATCGGTGCAACAATGGCGGGGTCGGGGAAGGGGAGATGATGATGAGGGCTTATACCGTTATACGTATAAAATCGTCCATGCATAAAGTTCAATTTAAAATGAGTAAAATATAAGAAATAATAAAATATTATTATAATTTTATTATTATACATTTTATGTTATCTTCTCTTAAAAAAATAGTGTATCTTATTATAATTAGGGATAATGACTTAAACGAGTAATATATTTTTCGATTTGTATATATTTGATTACTAAGTTTTTTTTCATCTACATTTACCCTTCAACTTGTTAAACTTTAAACATTAAATCTTTATGACCGATTATTTTAGGTTAGCCGGTATAAATGACTTAATAATATAATATATTTTTCATTTTATACACATTTAGTCATTCATATTTTTTGTACACATTTAGTCCGTAATATATATATTTTTTATTGCAAAATAAGTTATTTTTTTTATTTTGTACTCATTCAGTACTTATGAATGATTTTTTTTAGGTTTTTTTTCACGATATCTTAAATGGGACAATCATTAATGTGATGTGTTGGGGCTTTTAATGTTTATGTTCATTGTGATCTTGACTACTTGGTTGCTTAGGTTATGTGTTCTGAACGTTATAATTTCTTCATATGATCTCGGGTTTTAATGATCTTTATATCCATGTGTTCATATTTTAGTCTACTACAAATTTCATTTAGATTACTCCAATTAAAAAATAATATATTTTTACTTATGATCTTTATATCCATACATTTTTATTAATACATGTATGAATATTTTTTTTATTAAAATCGTACGTAAAAATATATTATATTTTGACGGGAATAATCTTAACGAAAGTTATAGTAGACTCAAAAAACAAACACTTAGATATAAAGATCATTAAAATATGATATCGTATGAATAAGTTACGACGTTCAGAACACAACACCTAAGTCAAATTCCAAGACCTACACAACCAAGCAATCGAGATCGCGATGGACATAAACAACAACAGCTCCAAACACCTCATCAATGATTACCACCCGTAAGATGTCATGAGAAAAACCTAAAAAAGTCATTTATAAGTACTATTCATAAGTACTGAATGAGTACGAAAACAAAAATAAATTATTTTGAAACAAAAAAAAAATATTAAGGGCTAAATGTGCACAAAAATTAATAAGTAAATGTCTACACAATGAAAAATATATTACCCTATTAAATCATTTTTTTTCGGCTAATTTAGAGTAACCAGTCATAAGGACTGAATACGTACAGTTTAACAAATTGAAGGGGTAAATATGAACTAAAAAAAACTCAATGACCAAATGTGTACAAATAGAAAAATATATTATATTTTTTATTCATTGGAGAATTTCGTATATGTCTTTGTTAAACATCTAAATATCATATATGTCCGGCCTAAATTTCAAATATTGTATTTGCCCTTCTTAATGTTTTGTAATATCATATATACCCAATTTTTTTTTTTTTTTTGATAATTTTTATTAATTTATAATTCATTTTCATAATCTTAAAGTATTATAATTCAAAAAAGCTTTGAATGGAAAATATTGCCCTTGGTACTTACTTCCTCAAATCACATTTTCCCCCCAACACAAAATCACGATCGAGCTGATCCTTTATACTTTTGGTCGAAGCTTCTGATCGTTGTTTCCCTGGTGTTGCACACACTCATCACACATCACAAGAATCTCTTTTGGCTGTTGTGATGATCGATTAACAGATAAGAAACTTGAATGGATTATCCCTTTCCCGTGGTTTCAACTAAGAGCCTACTCAAGACACATGATACCAACAAAAAACAACAGCAGAGCTTGGAGATCGAGTTTCATTCAGTTAAGTTTTCTCTTTGCATTCAATTTTTCATTTTATTTTCTTTCTTTAATACTCATTTTCAATTTTCAATCTAATTGTTCCATTCATTGATGGAATAGAAAAACAGGGGTTTTTTGGAAGCAATAAATGAACCCACAACTAGCCCATTTCATCTAAATACCGGAATTGTCCTCAGTTGTGGAATCAAAGAAAATCAACACAAAAACGCATTCGTTACCTGATGCCATCATAATTGTGAGCACCCAAAATGTCGATACATTGCTTATCATAGTTTTTGATGTTATTTATAAGATTTTAGGACATAGTCAAAACTAGGTACACTGCTTATCATTAGGTTTGGCTAGCGTAACAATTACGTACTATGTTACCCTAGAGAATCAGCAAACATAACCACAAGGTAAAATATTATTGTATGGTTTGGGGTTGAGTTTCTACCGGGAATAATATCATCGTATGGTTTGTGCAACATAACAATTAGGCATAATATTATTGCTATAATTTTGGCAGGTAACTACCAATCATCCTAACATTTCATGCATTTTATAAACTACTGATATATTACAGATAAGAGTACTATTTTGTAAAATTGACAATGTAGTATTATAATATGTATTCCCATGTAAAACTTTTAAAAATTGTAACGTGGGGCCATAAACGCACCCTAGTAGCTTGAATTGCGAAATTAGGGTAGCTTTGGGATTCAGGAGCTCGGAAACCTCTTCTAAATTGAAGCAAGTCGACTAGAGGAAGAGAGTGGTGTTTTAATAAATGTGCCAAATAAGCCTGCAAACCTTCTATTGATAGAAAGTTTTTGGATTGTGTGTCTCACGTTTTGGTGTGTGCTCCACGCAAAATGCATCGTGGCTCCAACCTGGTGTCGCCATGTGTTACTCTCTCATTAGGTAACATTGTCCACAATCTTCGTGAATCCGGAATTAGTGTGCACATTGTGCAAGGCATGCGCACAAAAATGAATTTGAAAAATTATAGCTCTTGCATACGAGCTCCGTTCTTTACCCTCTTTATACCCATGCGATGTTCTCGACTAGTAATACAACTTTCCTTTATGTTGTATTAACAAATTTTAACTTACATCTTTTGGCCTAACAAAGTATCTGTAAATGATTTAAAAAAATCATAACTCCCCATATGGGCTTCGTTCTTGGCATTTTTATCACAAAATTCTTACCCTGGGGAATACTACGACTTCCCTTTTTTGTGACATCATCCAAAACTTAACCGATTTCATTGTACACCTTTTACGTCGTAAAGTTATGTACATGGATTGATCTTTATATCTGGTAAAAACCATAACTTCTCCATATGAAGTCAGATATTTACGAATTTTATATTTATGTTATCACGTCGCCGTGTACTTTCTGAATATATTAACCTTTATAGGTGACGATACAAATTTTTGCGCACTTATTTTTGAGCCTATTGCCCAAAATAGTTGTGTTCTTACGAGTGTGTAAGGTCATAAGTGCATATATTTATTAATATATTACTGTATTACACTTTTATCTACGTTTTTTTTATTTGTACTAATTCCTAATGACGGTTGGTGACACATTTTCTTTAGTTGTCACATTTTCCCCCTGTTGAAGGAAATTTGTCCTGAAATCTAACTTATGGTCGAGGTGTTTTCAAACAAGTGAGGGTACTTGCTTATCACTTGATCTTCCTGCTCCCTAGTATACTTTGGTTCTCGCTTAGAGTTTCATTGTTCCTTAACTATGGGAATACAGCTCTGTTTGAGTCTTTTGACTTCTCGGTCCATGATTTTAATTGGCTCATCGACAAAGTTTAGTTTAACATTGACTTGAATATCATCGAGAGGAATGATAAGTGTATAATCATCGGGACACTTCTTGAGATTCAACACATGGAAAACGTCATGTGCATTGCTGAACTCTTAGGGTAGCTTAAGTTGGTAGGCTATTGGATCAACCCTTTCGAGGATCTTAAAATGTCCAATGTAGTTTCGCTTAAGTTTAACCTATTTTCTGAACCTTACAATTGTCAACATACCTATTTTGGCAACTACGGGTAATTTTCAAGCGCTCTTGAATTTGCACAATTTTCTCTGTGGTCTCCTGAATGATCTTTGGGCCCTTAAGCAGGGTATCTGCCTTTAGCTTCTTTTCTAATTGAGTATCGCCGACTCTGTCCAACAGATCGGTGATTGACACTTATGGCTATAGAGAGCTTCAAATTGTGCAACTATAATACTGGTGTGATAACTATTATTGTCCGAGAACTCAATCAAGAGTATATGGGTTTCCTATTCTTTTCCAAAATCTATCACACAGGCTCTAAGCATGTCCTCTAATGTCTGGATCATCCTTTCGCTTTTACTATAGGTCTAAGGATGATAGGTCGTTCTCATATCCAGGTGGGTACCAATAGATTTATGTAGAGTTTCCCATAATTGATAGGTAAATCTGTTATCCCTATCCGAGATAATGGATAATGTCACCCTATATAATTTGACTATCTCTCATAGGGACATCCTGTTTAGCTTCTCCGTTTTATCTTTCTTCTTGATTGGTAGGAAGTGGGCCGACTTAGCCAATTTGTCAACCACTACCCATATAGTGTTGTAGCCATTAGATGTCTTGGGCAGCTTTGTTATGAAGTCCATCAAAGTCTGTTCCCACTTCCACTCGATAATCTCTATTTGTTATAACAATCCAAAGGTATTTTGATGCTCTGCCTTGAAATTATAGCATGCCAATCACTTTCTTAAATACATCCCAAATTCGGCCTTCATGTTCGGCCACCAACAGA